TTGATTGGTTAATTATCACGGGCAATCACGGGTAGATCGACAAAATTAACCAATCATATGAATGTCTTCCTATGATCACGTTACTGCAAAAGTGTCTAGACCCCTGGCGGGGCTACTCTAATTTTTAATTTTCTTTTGTCATTTTAATGATGATAGAGACTTAGTCTTTAATAGCAAATCTTGTAAACGCGATACAATGTTTACAAAGAATCTTCAAAATTACGAATGAATCGCGTGACGGAACGACTTTTAAAAAAACGTCATTACGACGTGGCAAAAACGAAGCGTTTTTATAATTCGTAAAGTAACTTTTCGCGTTAACATTTTTTTTAAAAAAATCTATATATACTAGATATTTTGATGTTCCGTACGTCTTCCTTAATGAATATTACCAGCAAGTCCATGATGTAATTTCATTAGTTGTTAAAATAGGCTTGTTCTCCAAACGTAAAACATTATTGTTTAACTTTTTACAACATAAATTTTTAGAAAGTGAATATTTATAAATTTTTTAACCTTGTTAAAATTTCCATAATATTTATGATTGGATTTTTAATTACCGAGAACACCAGCCTCGATAAATAACTTTTTTAATTTGCCATTTTTATGCATTGTGGCAAGTTCATTGCTACCACCAATTAACACGCCATCCACAAATACATTTGGTAATATTTCACGATGTGTAAATTGAGATAGTACGCGTTGCATTTCTTCCATATCAGCTATTTGAAGGAAATTAGATGATTTAAAGATTAGAATAATATACATTAAAATCGATGATATATGATATATAATATATTATAAAAGACTTACATCGTTCATCAATCTCAATAAAAACGGGATGTGGAGAAATATTGTATTCTGAAAGAATGTGTTTTACACGCTTTGAATGTCTAAAACAAGTTAAATAATTAATAAATTTAATAAATTTAATAAATTTTTTTATGTTTTATACTAAAAATATACTCACTGACAATTAGATTTGCCGAATATAATAACGGGGTTTTCATGAACCAGATAATCGATTTCCAATTCAAGAACAGTTTTGGGATTAATATCAAATATTATCACAGAATTTGATAGGTGTGATTGTTCATACACATTGTGCCTATGACCATGACCATAAACACTAAAGCGACTATGACTTTGTACTTCCAAACTATGAATACCTTCTTCACCACAATCTCCCATAACACTCGCAGCAACCATAGCTGCTTCATTATTTTTAAATCGATGCAATGTATGTACATCAAGACTTGCATCACTAAAATGTGCCACAACCCATAAAGAACAAAGGAATAAGCCAAGAGTAGAACCTAATATTCTAAATCTCCTTGTACGTAAAACATGATCACTAATTTCCACAAAAGAATTTCGTCGATGGTTCGTGGGCGAAATCGGATGATAGGTTGGTAAAATAGCCGTCTTAGACATTTTCAAAAATAACCAAAAGTGAATCTTTAAGTGAAAAATGTAGAGTAAAAATTTATACAAGAAAAAAAAAAAAGGTATATATATACAATATTACAAAAAAAAAAGAAGAGGGAAAAAAAACGTGAACTTTATAAAAGAAACTCTCGTTAAATATTCCGATTTTCATAAAAATACTTCAAAAAGAAGATAGTACATGCGGAATATTTGTTAGAAGTAAAATGGATTGAAAGCCATCAAGGCAAACAAAACGGCTTCAGGATTTGCTTGTTTATTTATTGTTTTTTTAACATTAACTTTATTAATACAGATGACGTTACATAAAAAAAGTATAGTAAGCTGCAAATTGGTCAATCTATATAAAATTGTCACTTGCAGAATATCGATATGTATAAAATATCGGAGTATCTGGCTATGCATAAAAGAAAAAAAAAAACCAAAAAATGTATTGCTGGATTTTGAAACTTGAAACTAAAAAAATCTCCTAATTTCTTATATCTAAAAAAATCTCCTAATTTCTTATATCTAAAAGTCGATTCGGATTATCTCGATAATACAGTAATATACTGTAAAACGCCATCAGCAATAATATTTATCGTTATTAGTAAACAATTGAACAATTACATACTAAATGATTGATAATGTATTTATTTATTTGGTTTTGTTTACATAGTACAATAGTATAATTGTTAGCGCGAAAAGATAATCATGACTTTATATATCTTATAAATTGATTTTATTCTTATACCTCGAAATGTTATGCAGAGAGGCTTTACCTGAATAACCTTTCTTTCACAACTTCTACGTACGTCCGCACTTATGCATGCCTTTCTATGAATAAACCACATTCCTTTTAAAGCCTGAAATTTCACATTTACCATATTTATCGTTACTTAATTACTTAATTCAATAAAATTATTTTTACCCTGCTGTTGTAATTGGAACCATCGAAGAATTTTCTTGTTTTAAATGTTTAACCGTATTAATCGCTTAGTTCAGCCGGTATTAAGATAATTTTGGTTCATGTCAGCCGAAACTATGGAACAATCTTTATATAGTCAAACGGTTCCATTTTTAGTGTAATGATACTGAACTAAGTTAAATTAATTTTACCAATTCTTTGAATAGGAATCGGAAACCGATATAGGTCCGGAGCATAAAATATTTTTTTACGGTTTCCAATCACGCGATATTTGTTGTGCTGCAATGGCAAATAGACAGAAATTCCAAAATTACGTTTTTGATATTCTGATCAATATTGCATCAAAAACGTAATTTTGGTATCGCTTTGCAAAATTACTGTATTCACCACACTGTTTTATTACAGTAATATATATCTATAAACAAATAAATATAACTACTTATAACCTGTGTTTTTTTAATATTTAATTAAGAAAAAATCTATTTGTAACAACAGCCTGTTAATGTTAGAGTTAGTGTTAGATTATGTTTAAAGTTAGTGTCAATATTAACACAAAATTGCGAGAGGATCATTTTTCATTAGTAGCACAAAAGAGATTATCTTAGTAAAATTTTGTGTTATAGAGAATTTAATGTATAGGTTGTTACGTAACAGGCTTTTTCGAATGATTTATCCTTTAATTAAAATGAAGATTTAAAATGGTACACCCGCGTATTGGTGTTTCTAATGGCCAAATAAAGATAATATTAGGGCAAATATAAAGGTTAGGATTGGAATTAAGATAAGAGTTGAAGTTAGAATAAAATTGCATAAAAAATATTTTTTATTAGTTGCACAAAAAACTTTGATAAAATTTGAAATTGTGAAATGTTTTATTTAACAATATTTTAATAAAAAACTAAATAACTTTTTCTACGTAGACTTTAAATATAATATTACTTATTACAAATAGAAAATCAAAGGGATAATATTGTACATTAGTTTAGTTATGTACTATACTGGGATCTTTGCTAGGAAAATCACCCTTCGGGATTTTCCGAACAGGCTAATTCGGAAAAGAATGCCAGTTCTTATTCATATGTAAACCACCTTTTGCTTTATTTATTCGATAGTTTATTAAATAAACTGTCGAATTAGTAAAGTAAAAAAATGGTTTACATATGAATAAGAATTGGCATTCTGGTCTAAGCTTTTCCGAATTAGCCCGTTCAGAAAATCCCAAAGGGCGATTTTCCTAGCAAAGATCTATAGAGATGTATGTTATTTTAGAATGCCTAATTTGAAGTTATATATACTATGTTAAGAGTTTTAATTTTTAAATTAATACTTTGAACTAGATTCAATTATAAAAATAAATTATAGGTTTACCAAAATTTACCCGACAATCACTTCCGACATAACCATTTTCCCGACAACCATTTCATTTCCCCGACATGACCAGAAATCACGTCATGTTGCATGTCGGGGAAATGGTTGTCAGAAAAATGGTTGTTGTTGTCGAGAAAGTGGTTGTCGGATAAATGTCGGTAAACCTAATTATAATATTTATTTTTCTAAAAACTTTTATTTTTTTATTTATTCTTTCAATAATTAAATTTTGTTAATTTATACTGTTTAAAAACAGTACCAAAGCCTTCTTTAGTAAGGTACTTTATTTTAGTTACAATTTAGTCACCCTCCTCTATAATCACTTGAGCAAAAGTGTGATTATAAATAAGAGTGATTGTATAGTGTTTACCCTATATAGTCACATAAAAATGTAGCGTGACTATATAAGAGTAAATGCTTAATATATTTTAAAACTCAAATAATTAATACAGTATTTAGTGAATTATTATTATTTTTTTTCCCTATTTTTGTTATTTTTTTTTAAAAAAAAAAAGGATTCAGGACAACTTAGTACACTTGGTTACAATTGTAGACATGGTATTGACGTTAAGAAAGACGAAAAAAAGCTTTTGAATATTATATGAGAACAGAGATCCGGATGCGATGACTGAAGTTGGTAATTGTTATAAATATGGAGTTGAAGTAAAATTAAATTATCAGAAATCATAAGAAATCCGATGATTTAGGTAATGATATTGCAACGTGTAATGTTGGTACTCTTTATGAAGATGGATCAAAATTATAATAATGAATTTTGAATACTATAAAAAATCCAAATCCGGTGGTGCTCATTTCACCACATAGACAAATTCATTTTACAGACAATTATTTCACCGACATTTAGTTCACCGACATGTTTACAGCTGTTTTCATAAATTCCGGGGCACCTAAAAATTTTCTCGTTTCCCAGAATCTTTCGGTTTCGTCCGGTAAATTACCTAGCTCTCTGGAAACTACATCGCTATTTTCGAACTTTCAGTCCGGAGACAGCGATGTAGTTTCCGGAGAGTTAGGTAATTTACCGGACGAAACCGGGAAACGAGGAAATTTTTAGGTGTCCCAGAATTTATGAAAACAGCTGTAATTCACCGGCATGTTTTCATTACACCGACAAGTTTATTTCACCGACAAGTTTAATCGTTATTGCTCTGGTATAATATAGGGTTAGGTTAGCATTTTTATTAGTTATAGACCCACCTAGTATCGCCACCAAAATCAGTTACACGTAACGGAGCTTAAATTTATTGCCGATATTAAAATTAATGATTAATATAATAATGACGACATTTGATTAATAACATATGTAAGAATAATAATAACAATTTACGATGAAAATTTTATTTCTCTGAATATCATACGAAAAATACAACTTTATTCATCTTGTCGAATTACGAAACCAAAAAACTGCATTTCAAAATAATAATAAGTCATGTTTTAAGTGTATAAC